TCAATAGCAGAATTGGACAGTCTGTACTGGTAACCATGACAAGTGTTTGGCAAGTTTAACAGAGTAATTATCATCATAATAACTTGACCTCCAATGATGAAAGCACCAGTGGGTTTCAGTAAGGTTGATGAAAATCCCCAGACTTTATGAAATGGCATAATTTTCATTTGTGTAATTTTTAAAACCTAATTCCACTGAAAACTGCAACATAAAAAAAATCTGCAGACTTGAAGAAATATATCCATATTTTTTCTGCATTAATAAAGTATAATCTTATACTGAGAGAAATGAACTTTTGTGGCAATATTCACATTCTACCTTTAGATACTACAGACATTTAATTCAATTGCTGGACACACATTAGTAATTGAAGAATAAATGGTGGGCCTATCTAGTTTTGAATAGCTCCTCCACTGTCTTGTATCCATTTTTTTCTTATTTAATAAGCCAAGTAATATCATGAAGAAGGTTGCTTTGATATGGGAAATTTAAGTGATTGGAAAGAACAAATTTAATAATGTAAAATGCTTATTAATTCTTTTGACTATTCAACACTTTTTGATTAGGTTCGTTAACTATTTTTTTAAACTAGTTTTAATTTAATCGTGTATTTGACAATCATTTCCTTCTAATTGTGATAGAAATTATTGTCTTAAAGGTAAAATGTGCCATTCCCCATTTTTAATATTCATATATTATATACACAATATGTATACACTTAAAATATAAGAGTTACATATCCTGGTCTCTAACATGCAAACAGTAGGTCACAAATAGTTTTGAGCTACACATATATCTTGCACAGATACTGGAAAAAAAACTGTGCAATTTTTTTTACAGTTTTAACAAATATACATAAATATAAGAACATAAATTACAGTAAAATATTGACAGCATTTGAGAAAATGTTGATAACCCAGATGCACTGATGCCTAAAGGCCTTACAATAATAGAAAAGTACAGTTCAGGGACATCTCATTCCTATTCTTTTTAAAAATAAGTAAACACATCAGATGAGACATTAGTTATCTCTCTCAACCACTCAATTAGGGAAATGTATATATTTTAGTCTCTACTTCCCATGAAAGAAAACAAACTAACCATCCCGCTTACGATACAATACTGTCTTTCCCCTACGTTTACACAGTTGTCACAACACTGAAACATAACAGGGTCACATGATCGATCATTCAAGTCTTTTCCTGAGAATGAAGTTTTTCCCCAACTAACCCTCTGGTATACATTGTTGAAGGAACAAAAATCATGTAAAGGAGATTTCAAGGTTTCTAAGCTGTTCCACTTGAAAAGGATTAAAAAGAAGAAAAAGAAAAACTCATAAGTAAAATAATGTGAAGCTATTTTAAAATTAAAATGTAGCCCTTTGTACATGTTTAAAAATTCTAAATATAATTCTCCTATCAGTTATAAATATAATGTAAGGACCCCTTGAGAACTTGTAGCAGGAAGTCCTACATCTTCAGTTTGAAAGACTACTCTCAAAGTGTCATTCACTTCTGCCAGCTTATAAAGTGACTTACTTTAAAAGATATAGAAAGCCTTTTTTGTTAAGAGAACAATCTAAATTATTCTGAGTTGGCCAGAAGTGGTATAAAAACAGCACTGATTTAATCAGTAACTTCTTATAACATATTCTTGGTTAAAACTCACATGGTTTAAAGCGAACCTACTAGCAGCTCTTCACAACACCTCCTTTTTGTGTAGTAGAGAAATGTTAATACTTGAGTGAATAATAAATACAGAATTGTAAATACTTAGCAGAATAATTTTTGTAAATGCTTTAACATCGTTAAAACATGAGGATTACTGTAAATCTAACACTAGTGTTTCTCTTAGCATCATAAGAAAGGTGCAAGTTACCTCTGAAGGTCTATTTCCTACTCTCATGATCTCCACATTAAACAAAATACAAAGGTATCTTAGAATAAACCCCAGGAGAGAAATATAGCAAAATAAACCATCTGAAGAGAAGCATGTACATGAAAAGGTAAAAACAAACAAACAAACAAAAAGGCAACAAATAAAACACATAATTTGAAATCTTAGCCATATTTCAACCATAAGTCCAACTAGTACAGATGAAAATTCAGTGCTTCAGTGTATCTTGCATCAAGCAGATGAACCTGATAACGTACAAATCTCCGTCTGTGAATCAAACATTTCCTTCATCACTTGGACTTACCACCTAAGTGAGAATCTTCTGCACTCCAAAATACTGTGGTTTACATTCCAGTTGTTTATGACAACAGAGCTTAATGTCCAGTTTTAATTAATAAAAGTCTTGTTGGCAATTAGAAACATTTTCTATAGGCAGGAAAGATGAAGTGCAAATTTATCAAGATGTTCTGAAGCAAGTATTTCACACTCCTATGCCTTAGTGGGTAAAAGTTTTTTGGGTGTTACTGGTCTCTTGGTCTGCCACAAATGGCTGTGAATGGTAATTGCATCAACACTGGCAGACAACGTTTTAGCAGGTATGTGGCTAAACTGTTTCCTGTCAGAGTTATATTTGTAAAGCCCCTCAATCATTTTTTTAGTGATAGATTTAGGGCCTATCCCTGTCAGTTTATTGATTTCTTCAGTTTCTGGGCAATAAGTATACAAAGACCTGAACTGGCAGCCTGAATCCCGGAACAAGATTAAGAAGTTGTTGGCATCTGACTTCTCCATTTCCTTTGGAATAAAAAACAAAACAAAATGACAACAAAAAAAATACCTTAAAACATTTTGCTGAGTAAAGTTTATATAATTTGTTACATTTCTTAGTCAAATTTTACATGACATGTAATTGAAAATATAAATTAATAGCCAAAATAAAATACAAATTATAAAAATAGAGCAAGCTTTAGTTAAAAATGTATGCAAACACCTTACCATTGGCTATTGGTTCTGTCTGGATATTACACTCCTGTCGGAAACTTTGAAAGATGTGAAGTATCTGCCGAGTCTTGATCTTAGCCAAAGTGTGTTTCGCATTAATAATTAGGCACTGATTATCTCCTTTGCTCATCTAGCTTCGTTGTAAAAAGAAAGCTATGCTTTCTACATTTAAGACATATGAATGAGTGAATTTGGGCAAGAAGATACTATTTTTAGATTATGTAAGTTTATTCCTAATTTTAAATGTATAGTTTCAGATCTTTTAGATGTTGTTGAAATTCTTGGGAGCCTACGACGAGTATTTTCTTTTGAATTAATAGAGAAGACTCCTACAGTTTTAGAATGATGCCATATTTAATTTTCATGAAAACATGCTTACCTCTAGTATTTTTTTCTTCTGCCCTTCATTTACTTTTCCAGCCAAACAGCAATGAGCTAAAGCGTTTTGTATTATGTGCTTATTGGATTTTGCACTGGGTTCCTTGTAGAGCTTTGGTCCTGCAGTAAGGATTTAACAATAATAACAAAATAAAATTCCTATGCCAGAAGTAGTATTATCTTTGAGTAATATAATTGTTCCCACATTGATGAAACATTGTAATAGAAAACTAAACTCTATACTAGGAAACTTCTGACTGTCCTCTGGATAGTACTCCATCAGAACAGTTTTTTATCCACACAGCGAAGTCTTGAGGATGTTTTCTATGACTTTCTGAGGCTGCCCTGTGATAGGAGGTAGTCTGAGAAACCAGATGTAGCTACAATTACCACTGTCTGATCTAAGCTATTAAAAGCACAAGAAAAAGTCTCATCTTTTTCTTCTTCCACGCCTCTGGTTTTTTGTTTGTTTTTATCATTTTCTTTCATCGTTGGCACTCTTTGGTCAGTGAAACCACAGAAGCCCTTTTTGCCATTTACAATCTTCCTCCTGCTTCAAACTTACTACACTCTGTCCTGGAAGGCAAGGGCTGTGCCTTACTCTCAGTAGTGTGCTGGTAAACTGGTTCTCTTTGGGTGGGGGGGTATGAAGGGGGAACCCATGATTTGTAGCAGTTATCAATTTCTGTGGTGTAAACACTCCCATGAGGGCTAACTTCAAGCTACCAAAGATTCAACAGCTTGCAGAATTCTTGAAATTTAACCATTACTTCCAGAGCCAGTACTAGTTGGTTCTAGCATACCACTGCAGCTCTGCAACTCCATTATTTAGAACACTGCCTGGCAGATACAAGCTTAATGAATGTTAAACTGAACTAAGGAGGATGAGCTGAGGAAATAACACAGGAACACTGTACAATCCCAGGCCTCAATGGCTGTCAGTCTGGCTGGCTCTAGGAAGCAGTATTAAAAGCCACAGAGTTAAGTCCAGGTGGAAAGTCTCTACCAAACTCCAACCTCTTTAGGCCTTTATAGGGCTTCCTCTCTGCTGGGTCACAGGTGGGTGGAGGCAATCTCCTCTTCCCTCTGCTTCTTCCCATAGATGTTTTTCTCTTGTGCCTTTTCATTTTACCTCTCAAAGTATCCTGTTTCATTTCTCTAGTAGCGTCCTTACCTACATGCTCTTCATCAATTTGCTTTCATTAAAAAAACGCCTACCCAAACAGAGGCTAGAAAAGAACCTGGTGGGGACATGTGAGGCTGGATGCCCTCCTAGATCTGATGCATTCTTCTTACGTCTTAGGGCTTCTTAAATTCATCAATGATGAACAGCTCTAGATGCCGGAAATCCCAATGTTAGGGACAAGCCTTTGTGGATTCTAGCTTTTTCTCTGTACTCAAGATCCATGCATTGCTGATAGAACCTCTCCAAAACCTTCTTCAGACCTAAACTACAACACAGAAATGGCTAACGTTTTTAAGATAGAAGCAGAGGGATGAGGTGTTAGTGGCATCACTAATTTTGTTTAGAAAACTATTTCAAGTCATCTGAGACAAGTCACCACCTCCCTAAGTGGAAACGGACCTACCTGAAAGTGACCGCCTGTGTTCGCTCCTTTGGCTCAGACTCTCTGGTGTTTACGAAGTGGTGAGCCAATGATATTTTCTTTAGTACAGCCTATATCTATTCTCATGAAGACTGTTAAATTTAACTGTTTCCCTAAACATGCAGACACTAACCTGTGTATTCTGTTCCAGAAGCCACTGAAGAAGTTGTTGATGCATTTTCCCAGTCTTTTTCTCCATTTCGACTGCCACAACGACTTGGAGATAAGAAGCCTTCTACAGACTCTGACCTAAATAGTAAATAGAGTTTTTTTCCTTTTGTTCATATTGCCATCATTTCTTCCTTTTTCTTTTTTTTTTAATTGTGCTTTAGATGAAGGTGTACAGAGCAAATTAGTTTCTCATGAACAATAAATACACATATTATTTTGTGACGTGTCACACTCTCCCCTTCTTGACCCTGCGTTCCCCATTTCCATTTGTCCAGCTTTCTTGTCCCCTCCTGCCTTCTTGCTGTTGCTCCTGGGCTCATGTGCCCATTTAGTCTCGTATACACGTTGAGCTATGTGTATTATTGTTTACTTTATTGGCCTGTCTAATCTTGGGCTGATGGTGAACCTCAGGAGTGAATTCAGTACTAAGTTAAAAGGGTGTCCAGGGGGCCATACTCTCAGAGTTACTCCAGTATCTGTCAGAACAGTTAAGTGTGTTTTTTTTTTTTTTTTTGTGAGTTTGATTTTTGTTCTACATTTTTCTCCTGCTCTGTCTGGGACTCTCTATTGTGATCCCTGTCAAAGCAGTTGGTGGTGGTAGCCGGACACCATCTAGTTCTTCTGGGCTCAGGCTCATGAAGGCTGTGGTTCATGTGGTCCATTAGTCCTTTGGACTAATCTTTCCCTTGTGTCTTTGGTTTTCTTCATTCTCATTTGCTCCAGATGGTTTGGGACCAGTGGAGTATCTTAGATGGCTGCTCACAAGCTTTTAAGACCCCAGATGCTACTCACCAAAGTAGGATGTAGAACATTTCCTTTATAAACTATGTTATGCCAGTTGAGCTAGATGTCCCCTGAGACCATGGTCCCCAGCCCCTGGCCCAGTAATTTGGTCCCTCAGGGAGTTTGGAGATGTCTATAAAGCTTCTATGACTTTGCCTTGGTCAAGCTGTGCTGACTTCCCCAGTATTGTATACTGTCTTACCCTTCACCATAGTTGCCACTACTCTATTGTCTAGTTAGTGTTCTTCACTCCCCACCTTTCCCCTTCCTTGCAACAGAATATTTATTTCAAACGGGAAAAGAACGTTTGGGGGCCAGGAGAGTATATGTGAAAGTACCAACCAAAATTAACCCAGAAGCTTAAAAATAAAAAGATGGTGGTAACTTCATTTGTCTTATTCATAACTATACATCCACATGCCTAGAGCATAGTAAAACTACAAACCAAACCTATTGCTGTCAAGTTGATTTCTACTCATAGCAACCCTACAAGACAGACTAGAACTACACCACAGGGTTTCCAAGGCTGTAATCTTTACGGAAGCAGACTGCCACATCTTTCTCCCGAGGAGTAGCTGGTGGATTCAAACCACCAACCTGTCGGTTAGCAGCTGAGCGCTTAACCACCACCAGGGCTCCTTAGAACATAGTAAGTACTCCAAAATATTTATTGAATGAAAGAATAAATGCTTTTCCATATGAAAATGGACAATTAATGCAATCAGATGGTAATACAAAGATTAGAACTCAGCTGGTAACTGCCAGTAGAAACATTCTTTTTGATCTGGTTATTAATAGACTATAAGATAATGAAATGTTGGCTTTTAGCTTCTCATCTACATAGGAACAGAGTACAAAAGAGATCTTTCTCCTAAGTCATAAGCCATGTACTTGGAATTATTCTAAGAGTGAAAAATGGCCTTTATATTTATGAGAAATAAGCTATAGGCCAGCACTACATAGATGACGCACTTTCTATTTCTACAGACCATGATTTCATCACGGTGATATTAGCAATTACTGATGTACAATTACTGTTAATATTTCAAAGTTACAAAAAGTATCTTAGATGACAATAATTCCAAAATTCCAAAAGATAAAAACAGTAAAAGATTAATAAACCCTGCTAGTCTTCCTCTTCATACAATTTTTTTAAACAGAAACCCAAACAAATCTGGTCAGCAAAACTTATAAATTTTTTTTATTATGATTCATAGTTATTATAAGATAAAAAATAAAGAATTTTTACTTAGAATTCTGTATAATTTCAGGTACCATATTCTTTCCCACGAAAAATGTTGATGTGCTCTGAACTTACCTTGGTGTCCTCTTGCCCGAATGCACACTCTCATTATCGCCTGTGTTCAGTGACGCCAAAGAAAGGCTAGAGACTGAAAAAACACGATAAATTCGTGACCCTGAATAAAAATAAAATTAGAAATTTAACAGGAGCAACTAGCAAAGAGTCTGTTCATTAGATAACACCAGCATATGAAAATTGAGTTTCTGTAGTTTTTCTTTTTTCTTTACTCTTACTCTAAACACATAATATGCTTGCATGCATATATACATAATTTATTTAAAATTAGCAAGGAACCTACTTTTAATAAACAGTGATAAAACTAACTTGCTATTAGGATTTATTCCAAAAAGAAAGTGCTAACATGAGACACGGAACTGTAATCCTAAAGAAAAAAAGTACAAAAAGAAAATTAGCAAAAGAAATTAAGAAAAAAATTAACAAAAAAGTAAGATATATTTAGAAATATCTAATTCATAGGTGAAAAAATAATCGTATTAATTTCAGCCAATATTGGGTATCAAAAAGTTTCACTAACTAGAAAAGGCAGAGTTCTCTTTAAACAGTCAATGTTATTTTTTCCTCAGCTTTAGAATAACTATAGGAATTCTCTAAAAATTTCCATTGTATTTTGTCTTAACAAAATATTTTTTGAGTAAGAAGTATGCATGTTGAATTAAAAATACATATACATATATATATATATTTTCTCTCAACTGTAACAACAACAACAAAAAAAACCAAACCCGCGGCCACTGAGCCAATTTCGACTCATAGCGACCTTATAGGTCAGAGGAGAACTGCCCCATGGGATTTCCAAGAAGCGGCTGGTGGATTCCAACTGCTGACCTTTTGGTGCAGCCAAATGCTTAACCACTGCGCCACCATGGCTCCCTAATTATAAATTTGGATTTTACCATTTCTATCTTAAAGGAGGGACTCATGAACTTTTGGTCTTATATTCCTCATTATACTGATATGTTTCTTGCACATTTCATGCACACAGAATTTCTCATTAAATTTACAAATGTGTGAAGGGTAGTCAGTATTAGTAATTCAGGGAGATTACAGCCGAAGGCAGAGTTCCCTAATAGGTTAGTATTTAAATTGGATTTTTAGCATTCACATTTGTTCTACTGAATATATGCATGCACACATAATACACTTAAGTCATAAAACACTTCATTTGCTCATTTTGGTTTTCCAAATAAGGAGCATGCATATTCTCAAACTGTGTATCCAATTTAGCAGATCAAAGCACAATCACGTTAGTATGACATACGAAGCTGGTGTTTTTTCATGAACAGACTCTTTATAATAAGTGGTGTTACCTGGAGGACCTTTTATTGGTGTTTTGGGGGATTCAATATGATCTCTGTGAATAGATTTTGGGCGCTGTTTTTTTTGTTTTGCTACTTGAGGGCGGGGTTTAATTACTGTATCCATATCTTCCATGAGTTTCAGCTGTTTTCGCCTCATATATTCTTGCCTAATAAATTCTCTGCGCGCTCTCTCATCTTCTTTCTTTTGACGTTCTTCCTCAGTTTTACGCCTAAGAAATCAAACAGTTAAATTTCTCATTCTGCATACCAAAGACAAAAGAAGACACTGGAAAGAGTACACATTTGAGGTAAGAAGGGAGAGTTATTATATTCCAGTACCCTGGGAAAAAAAAAATGTTCATCTAAAAAGTACTTACTAAGATAATTTAGGTCATTTAAAAAAAAGAAAATTGATAATCTAGTGAAATTATTTTAAATTAATGTTTTAGAGAACATGTACTTTGAAGTATCTCAAACTTAGGATCAAAATATACAATTAGGCAATACCTTGGGAAAATAAACTAACTTCCAAAAAGCACTGAGAATCTGTATCAGTTCATTTGTCTGTACACACTTTAAATGTCTCTAAAAAAATCTGTTAATAAAAAAATGAGAAACTGCCTCTTGCAGTACATACTTACCAAATTTTTCTAAATATGCCCATGCATCATTAATGCTCAGATTTAGAACTGGCACAGCAATTTCCTTTACCTTGTCTCTTCTTTCTTATGCTCCATTTCTGCTTCCAGCTGTTGTTTTCGAAGCTGGGTTTCTTTTTCCCTTCTTAATCGTTTCTCCAACAAAGCTGCCCGTTTCATTGCCATATCATTCTCTGCTTTTTGATCATCCTAAGGGTGAATTTCATTAAAAAAGATAAAACATTTTAGGCACCAACATTCTTATTTTCAATGACTGGGGTCACATTTAGTGGTTACTCTTAACAACTGAAAAACAGAACTATTTATTCAAACTTATTCCAACCCCAGCAAATACGGACATATTCTACTAATTATTATGAAGGAACTGAATTAATGTGGCATCAGTTCTATCAAGTAGCAGAGAACACTTAAATTTATTTAATTCCACTCTTTCAGAAACCTAAGAAATTTAAAAAGAACAATTAAAAAAAAACTAGTTTTCAAAACTGCATGTAAATTATATTTAAAATACATGTTCAATAGCGAAAACTCAGGTAAAAGTACCAAAAAAATTAGCCACCCAAAGTTACACCACATAAATGCAACTACTGCTGATTTTTTTAAAAGTGAGGTTCTGAAAGCTTGCTTGATAGGTTCTGAACTATACTGAAGGTTTTTCCTTTGATGGGCATAATTATACTCCTCTTCTGTGGTACTTTCACTTGGAGAGCTAGTTTGTGATCTGTAGGCCACCTGGGTCTGCCCTAGTTTCTACCTGAATCCATAGGGACATCCCCAGTTCTGAGAAACAAAAAAACCAAACCCGTTGCCGTTGAGTCGCTTCTGACTCACAGCAACCCTACAGGACAAGAGTAGAGCTGCCCCATAGGGTTTCCAAGGGGCACCTGGTGGAGATGAACTGCTGACCTTTTGGTTAGCCGCTGAACTCTTAGCCACTTTGTCACTAGGGTTTCCCTGGTTCTGAGAGGGCTTCCAAAATGCTTCGGAATTCAGTAAAGTACAAAACTGTGGGACCTGGGTTTTTTTTAATGATAGATTATCAAATACAACTACAAATGCAAGAGCAGCAGCAGACAAAACAGATAACTGAGACCCTAAAAATTAAATACTTATGCTCATCAAAAGTATCAAAAGAATAAAAAGACAACCTACAGACTGGGAAAAAATCTTAGGGAATGACATCTGATAAGGGTCTAATCTCTTATGTAGAAAACCTCTACAACTCAACAACAAAAAGACAAACAACCCAAATTAAAAAATGGGTAAAAGACCATCTCACCCTGACATTACTAACACTAATAACGAAACCAGAAAATAACAAATGGTGGATAGGTTGTGGGGAGATTGGAACACTTATCCACTGCTGATGGGAATGTAAAATGGTACAACCACTATGGAAAATTATATGGTGCCTCCTTAAAAAGCTAGAAATAGAAATAACATACAATCCAGCATTCCCACTCCTATGACTATATCCTAGAGAAATAAGAGCCATCACACAAATAGGCATATGCACAACCACGCTCACTGTAGCATTATTTACAATAGCAAAAAGATGGAAACCACCGAAGTGCCCAGCGACAGATGAATAGGTAAACAAATTATGGTATATACACACAATGGAATACTATGCAATGATAATGAACAATGATGAATCTGTGAAACATCTCACAACATGGATGAATGTGGGGGGCATTATGCTGAGTGAAATAGGTCAATCACGAAAGGATTTGGGATAACTATTTTATGAGACTACTATTATAAAAACTCAAGAAAAGGTTTACACACAGGAAAAAAACATCTTTGATGGGGAGGGGATATCACTAACTATATAGTAGATAAGAGTTAACTTTGGTGAAGGGAAAGACAACATACAATATAGGGGAAGTCAGTGCAACTTGACCAAGGCAAAGTCATAGACGCTTCTAGACACATCCAAACACCTTGAGGGACCAAGTTGCAAGGCCTGAGAGCTGGGGACCATGATCTCAGGGGATTTCTAGGTCAACTGGCATAATACAGTTCATAAAAAAAAAAAAAATTATACATCCTCATTTGGTGACTAGTGTCTGTGGTCTCTTAAAAGCTTGCGAACGGCCACCTAAGATACATCTATTGGTCCTATCTCGTCTGGAGCAAAGGAGAATGAAGAAAATCAAAGACACAAGGAAAATATTAATCCAAAGGACTAATGGACCACATGAACCACAGCCTCCACCAGCCTGAGCCCAGAAGAACTAGATGGTGCCTGGCTACCATCACCTACCACTCTGATGGGGATCAGAATAGAGGGTCCTGGCAGAGCAGGAGAAAAATGTAGAACAAAATATAAATTCACACACACACAAAAAAGACCAAATGTACAGGTCTGACAGAGACTGTAGGAACCTTCGAGACTATGGCCCCTGGAAACCCTACTAACTCAGAACTGAAGCCACTCCCAAAGTTCACCTTTCAGCCAAAGATTAGAATAACACACGTAAGGAACATGCTTCTTAGTTCAATTAAGTATACGAGACCAAATGGGCAACACCTGTTCAAAAACAAAGACAAGAAGGCAGGAAGAGACAGGAAAACTGGACGAATGGACATGGAAAACCCAGGGTGGAAAGGGACAGGGAGAGAGTGCCGACACATTTTGGGGATTGCAACCAATGTTGCTAAACAATTTATGTATAAATTTTTGAATGAGGAAGTAATTTGCACTGTAAACTTTCACCTAAAGTACAATAAAATTATATATATATGAAAAAGAAAATGGGCAAAAGACATGAATAAACAGTTCACTAAAAAGGACATTCAAGCGGCCAAGAAACAAATGAAAAGATGTTCATGATCTTTAGCTGTTGAGAGATGCAATCAAAACTGCAATGAGATACCAACTCACCCCCACTAAAATGGCACAATGATCACAAAAACAGAAAACAACAAATGCTGGTGAAGATGCAGGGAGATTGGAACTCTTATCCACTGCAATGGGACCATAAAATGGTATAACCACTATGGAAAATGGTATGGCGCTTCCTCAAAAAACTAGAACTACCTTATGATCCAGCAATCTCACTCCTAGGTATATACCCTAGAGAACTAACAGAAGTGACACGAACAGACATATGCACACCAGTGGTGACTGCAGTACTATTCACAATAGCAAAAGGATGGAAACAACCTAAGTGCCCATCAATGGATGAATGGATAAGCAAAATGTAGTATATAGATATATATATAAAGTGGACTACTATGCAATCATAAAGAATAATAACGAGTTCTCAAACATCTTAAAATGTGGATGAATCTGGAGGACATTACGCTGATTGAAACAAGTCAATCACAAAAGGAAAAATACTGTGTGATCCCACTTTTATAAAAACATGTATACATAAAGAAACCAATGTTCGTTGGTGGTTACCAGGGAGGGGTAGGTGAGAAGAGGGGGAATAACTCTTTTACAGAGTAAAACTCATAAAACCAAAACTGTTGCCATCAAGTCGATTCTGACTCATAGTGACCCTATAGGACAGGGTAGAACTGCCCCATAGGGTTTCCAAGGAGCACCTCGTGGATTCGAACTGCTGATGTTTTGGTTAGCAGCCGTAGCTCTTAACCACTTCGCCACCAGGGTTTCCTTTTAGAGAGCAGACACTTGCTATTTTTGGTGATGGGAAAGGTAACACTGAATGTGGGTGAGGTGTGCACAGCTTGACCATGTAAATGATGTCCCTAAGTACACACACACATACATGTCAAGGATGTTTTTGGTAGATGCTAGAATATATAATTTTGCAACAACAGCCAAAAAAGATGTGTGGTTACACATGTATTTATGTATGCATATATGTGTATAGGTATGTATACATATATGCATGCATATATACATGTAACCGTATGTGTGTACATATACATGTCTGTGCATGCATGTATGTTCATATATATAATAAAGCACATGGAGGCACAGTTACGGATACTTCTTATACATAAACCCAACAAACACCTCATGGGATTGGATTTCTGGGTTTGAAGCCTTAGGACCATAGTCTCGTGGGACAACTTGGTCAATTGGCATATTCACAGAAGTTTATATTATACATCCTAGTCTGGTAAGTAGTGTCTAGGGTCTTAAAAGCTTGTGAGCAGCCGTTTAACTATTGGTCCCATCACGGCTGGCGCAAAAGAGAAAGAAGGAAACCAAAGACTCAGAGAAGAAACTAGTCTACAGGATGAATAATCTACACGAACCATGGCCTCATCTACCCTGAGACCAGAACAACTAGATGGTGCCTGGTTACAACTAACAACCATTCTAATCAGGGCCACAATAGATGGATCCTGATAGAAAGGGAGAAAAATGTAGAACAGAACTCAAATTCTTAAAAAGTTCAGACTTACTGGACCGGTTGAGACTAGAGGACTCCCCGAGACTATCTCCCTGAGATTTCCATAAATCTTGAACTGAAACTACCCCCTTAGGTCACCTTTTAACTCAATAACAGATTGGCTCATAAAGAATATTACCAGTGAGTACTGCGCACCTTTAAAAAATCATCTATATGAGACCAATGGTCAACAATTACTCTTCAGCAAAGATGAAAGGTAAGGGGAGTGGGAAACCAGATTACTGGAAGGAAAACATCCAGAAGGAAATTCTTGAG